CAACAAGTCTTCTGTCTCAATTTTTCTCAGGCATTTACAAGACGAGCCATAGCCTTCCCCTCGCCATCTGAGACCCACACACGCACGCACGTGCACTCACACTGGGCTGAGGCGAGGGAAATCAATAGTGACTTAAATGTTTTATCATGGTGTGTCAGTGTAGTTAAGGCCTCAGTTAACAGGCTGCAGCTCTGAAGAGATTTACTACTGCCATTTTCACAGCATTCTCACGTGCCACAAATGTATTTCTCATACCTGTGAGTTAAAAGTTTTCGCCACCCATTGATACAAAAAACACACACATATATATATATATATACATACACGTAAATATATTTAAGTTATTGCAGTGTAATTCTTTTCATTTGAGCTGAGAGGGAAGACAGACACGGTCCAAATGTAGGGAGACAGTAGATTAAGACACCAGGCTGATTGAGATAGATGGTAGAGGTCCTCGCCTGCACACGCACACCCACCCACACACACTAATGAAATGAGAAATAGCCACACAGGTTGGGGACAGAGGGCTAAATGGAAGGGGGGGCAGATTCATCCATCTCTCTGTGTCTCTCTGTGTCTCTCTTCCCTTCGCTGCTCGATGCACAGAAGAGTTCAGATCAAGACGTCTGGAAAGTTTTCCAATTTAATCAAACACCTGCGTACAGAATTTAACCTATATTTTATAATGATGCAGGTCCATTTAGGTCAACAGGGACCGTGAATATAGAGTTAAATATAATTATTTATAATGTAAAAAAAAGAAAATAAATACCTATAGTTAACACGACCAGGACTTACTGTTACGCCATTATGACCAACAGTATTTCGTTAGAAGGAATTTATCCTCCATTTTGTTCTTGATCCATTAAATGTAAATTCATGGGGCAGTTCAGAACAGATTTCTGGGGGAAAAAAAACTTGTTTTTGAAGTTCTATAAACACATTTTTGGACCAGAAGAGAAAACACTGATGATGTGAATACCAGTAACAATAACAGGGGGTTTTAATGGACCTGGTAAAAGCAGGAGACACCCCTGTTAGTTGGACAAAAGCTTCCAGACCAGAGTCCACTACTGCTTTATAAGCTAGCAAGCTAATCAAGGCTAAATGGCTTTTTACAAGCTGAGGACTTATTAGAGCAGAGGGTAAGGCAGTTTATAGGACAGAGAGTGGGGAGTCGGACCAGGAGTACCATCCAGGTCTTTATAGAGTGGCCACGGTGAAGGGGTTACAGTTGGGGGGTCAGTGGAGGTGGACTCCTGCTGGACACGGTGTTTACTGTCCAACTGACTTGAAGGACAGATTCCAAGCAGAGAGAACTGGAGATTAAATGTCTTTGTTTCAGTCTGTTGTTTTTAAGATAAAACTTTGGACTGTGTACAAGAATCTGGTCGTTCAAGTCGTAAAAGAATCGATTTTTCTGTAAGGAATAAGAAATGGTCTGTTTTTTTAGTATTTGTATTTCTTTGTACCATTACTCTTGAGTAATAAAACCTTTCAGATAAAAGAGTATTACGTGTACTTATACCACTACTTATGTACATCAGAGTACTATGTATAGTAGAAGTTGTTTTTCACATCGAACAAACAAAGGTGTATTGTGTTACTTTTCAGCCTCTGCTGTTCTACAGTGTAGCCAACCAAGTCCTTTCTCTGGCTACCACTTAACACACACACGTGTGCACACACACATTCACTTATAAACACACTTATAATTCCCTCTAGTGCTCATCCTCTCTTCCTGTTCATTGCTCGTCCTTCCTCATCCAGATCAATACCATAGATCAGCCAGCTATCAGGCTGCAAAATCACCACATCACCATAAACAGTCGCACTCGTTATAACACACACACACACGCAGCTGTAATAAACGGCGGCTGGCTCCCGTGGCCTCGTCTCCTGGCTCCAAATCATAAGCAGCGAGCTGCGGTCTGTGCCGCGGCCGTATTGATTTACTTATGGCTGCTTCATATGCTATTGGACAGTGTTAAATGCTGTCGTACAGTGTTAAAGGCACATTTTCTGTGATCATGGCGCACATTAATCAGTGGCTGCTTGAATGTGAATAGAAAGGCCGGACAGAGGATGGAAAAAAAGGAAGACGTGTTGGAGGACAGTGCAAGTGGGATGGATGGAGGAGGAGGAGGAAGAGGAAGAGATGTAAACCCAGATCAGGGAATAAATCCTGAAGGACCAATGCATATAAGGTTAGATAGGAACGTAACAGTGGAATGGGAGGAAACGTGGAGCTGAAATGTCAGAAAATGACATGACAGAGGAGTTATCTCATTTTTAAGAAAAAAAGGAAGAATGATGATGACTGAAGGAGGAGGAGGAGGAGGGTGGAGTCCAAAGGAAAGGAGAAGCTGGTGGTGGAGCGCAGGCTGAAGTTGTAAATCTGTGGAGATATGGAGCCTGTGGGAATAAAGCTGTGTTAAACAGGAGGCTGTCAGGCCGTATTGTATATTGGACACTGGGAGTCAAAGAAAGGATTGGAGGCTGTAAAGATGCTGGGACAGGTTTCCATGGCAGGAGGAAGACCATAACAGACTGTGACGAAGGCTCCGGTGGCCTCTGTTGTTGTCCTGAATGTTTAAAGGAGGACACTGGGGATTTTATGATGCTTGAGCTTCTACTTTCAGAGTGAAAACACAGACTTCAGTTGGACATATAATCCAATTTGTAATTTGATGTTCCACAAATAAGACTATGTAGGCCTGGCTCAGTTGTCAGGGAAATGACCCTGTTATAAACTGTAAGCAAGTGGAAAAAACGAGTCCTTCTACAGAGGTTATAAACTGTAAGCAAGTGGAAAAAATGAGTCCTTCTTGCCCAGCTCAGGCTCTGTAATAGTTTTGGACGACATTTCAATCATTAGTGTTGAAGACCTGGTTACAAACAGTCAAACTACTAAGGCTGTGAAGTAGGAGTAGTAGTAGTGTATATATGCATTCCAATAATGTTCAAAAGAAAGTTAGTTTCAGCCCTGACCAGACTTTCCTGTCTCCTCTTTGGTCCAGGTTCACACAGGAGGAGTCCACGGCCACCACCATGGAGGCTCTGAAGGCTCGAATCAGAGAGCTGGAGAAGCAGATCCAGAGAGGGGACCGATACAAGTGTCTCATCTGCATGGTGAGTATGAGCTACGCACCACCCCTCTGTGTCCTCACGCCGGGGGCGTTGTGCTTTTCTTTCGGAAGACAACGGGTCTTCATTCCCTGCTCCCCCCACACAGGCAGAAATCCATTTGTTATCCACCAAACCTGGGTGGGTTTGTGTGTTCTGTCTGGTTGCTGGTGTTGTTGTGCTCTGTTCTTGTTGTGTTGTGCTGGTTTTTGCTTCTTGCATGGCTTTACAAGTGGATGGACTTGTCCTGGAGCAGAAGACACTGTTGAATAGTTTCATTTCACCCATTCATTGACATGGAGTTTTAGTCAGTGTTTTTCAGACTCATTACTTCTATCAGTAGCTACAAGTATAAAATATTTGGTTTTGGTATTTAACTACGGAGCCGTGACCCAATTACAATGCCTTGTAATTGATAAAAGAAAATACTGATAAAATATTTTTCAACTAATTATTTTTTCTAAAATTATAATTGAAACTACATACACAACCTTAAACAACTGTATTCTTTCACTGTCACAGATATAAAGGAGGTCAATTGAAATGCAGCACAGAAACAGAAACTATCAAAACTAAGTTAAAACATTAATGTCACTAAACATTAAACAAAAGTTTAAAATATATTTTTCTAAAGGTCCAGAGAATTATAACCAGGAGAAGGTGTAAAAACGCTGCATATACTTAGGATTCAGACTGTGGAGTGTAACCTTCAGATTGATTTGACTCAAATTAGACACAGAGCAGCTGGAGTCAGTGACCAGCAGCTGTTGAAAAATGAAATGACGCTGCTCTGCTGTTATCACTGATTGATTGGTCTCTCAGATCAATGACAGAAGCGTGTGTGTATGTGTGTGTGTGTCATTTCTCTACAATACCAGGCAGAATGAGGGACACCATCGATATTTGTGATCACTGTGTACACTAACACACACACACACACACACACACCTGTCAGTGTTTGCATTCCCCACTGTGTCAGTTATCCATCCTGTCATCCCTCAAGCTTGTGGACAGTGCATCGTCGGCACCATCTTCACTTTGTGTGTGTGTGTGCGGAGGGGCGGGGGGACGGGGTAATTACCGTCGTCTGCGCTTCCTAAAGGTCGCCGGGTGCCCGAGGTGACACGGAGGGCAAGGCACAGCGATGGATCACTCATTGCTCCGTGGACACGAGGCTCCGCTCGGCTCATCTGTCACTGTCTCTCATCGCTCTCTGTCGCACCTCCGTAGACAGATGTCGTGCATCACGCACCGGACGTCTTAAATCTAATCTGTCTGTGTCTGTCTTCTGACCTGTCACTGCTCTTCGTCCATGTCACCGTGCGTCTGATCTTTAAGTCGTTAGATTTATTATAATCATTTATTATTATTATTACTTGTACAAATCAGAAAGTGTTGAAACAGTTACTGCTGAATAAAACAACTGAAGATCGTGCAGTAATTCACCCATGTTTGTTTCTCTGGGACCAAAGTTGCCAGAGTTTGTCAACTAACACTTGTAAAAACCAGCATGACGTTGATCTCTGTAATATCAGTGGACCAATACCACCACCTGCTGGACATTTCTTGAAAAAAGCTGCACTGTAAAAACGGCTGGCCCTCAATGTAGTGGTAAAATCAGTGTTTATCTAATGGTTAAAAGCTTTAAGAAGAAAACAGAATGATGGAGGAGGAACACGTTTGGATCTGGGACTGAAACCTGAGGCAGATACATTTGAAGGCGCTGTTCTATAATAACAGTCTTAGAAAATCTGCAAAATTCAATTTGTCCTGGTCAGCGTTGATTTTTGTTGAAGACCACCCCTCATTAGTCACACATGCTGCACACACACTCATTTGGCAGTATAAGATGTGTGTGTGTGT